GCTCATTTGTGCAGAAATGATTGTTCCCCATTTCCCTGGCCAGTCTGCGCATTGCCTAACTGAGCACCAGTTCATTCCTGTGGCTTCTCTTTCTCGTGGTGTTACCATCCATAGTTCTTGGAGATTCATTGTCTCCATTCAGCAAAGAATTGAAGAACAGAACACAGAGATAGCAAGCAAGCAGCAGGTTTATTGCAACAGCGACAGTAAAAGGTTCTCCAAAGAGAAGAGGCCCTGGAGCCAGGAATCTGGTGGGATGGGGAAGATTTGGCTTGTTCTTTTAATGGTCTCTGGAATTTCCTCCTTTCCTCATCTCCTTCCCTATTCATACTCTCCTCACTATTGTTCTCCTGCCCTGTTTCCTTGCAGCTATCTTAGTTTTTCTACTGGTTCACTGCTTAGGAGCACAAGTATGGAAGTGTCTCTCTGATTGGGTCCCCCCACTTGTGTCCATAAACACTTTCATCAACTGGGAAATGGACCTCATTGAAAGACCCTCTCCATGCTCCTTTGGTCTGGCCCTGCATTGACCTCTTCACTTGCCGTCCTGCACTGGCTGCCTACGTCCTTCTACATCTCTTTCAGTGGCAGGAAGGGTTAACGTGGCATCAACTTTCTACAGGTTTTCAGGTTATTAAAGTACACTAGAGCCTGATGGCATCTGCATTAATCCTGTAGGAACGGGGAACAGCCAGGTGGCAGGACCTACTGTTGCAGCATGTTCCATGATAAACTTTTAACTGTGTCCGTCCCACGTGTGCATATTCATGGTGTTGAGAGAGATTGTAAACATTCCTGTCCTCTTTCTGGGGGTTTCTGATGTATGTCAGACCTTCCCTTGACACCATTGATTTGGAATAAGAGTAAGAATTTTCACTGAAGCTCTATAATTTAATATGTGTTAAAGTTAGATTTCCCTTTACTCTTTTTTTTTTGAGATTTTCCTATTTTTACTTATTTTATTTTATATATCCAGGAATATGTTTCCAGTTCCTAGAACATTGTTATTTTTAAAAAAATCATTTTTATTTTATAGACTAGACGTTTATTCTCTGTGTAGGTGTCAGCTTAGGGATTTAAGACTGACCCTTGTTAAAAGACAAATAAAAACATGAATCCAGGGATGGCACTACCTCTGCTCAGGAGTGGAGTAGAGAGGCCTGCTTTGGAGGACAGTTGCTCTCTGTAGATAATAGCACAAAGATATGGGTGTCTGGGGGCCAGACGTGGGTCCCCAGAGATAGTGTGATTATCTTAAAAGGGATGTCACCAGACAGTGTGGCTTGGAGGGGAGGTGTGGTCATAGAGAGGTTGGTTTCCACAGCCCAAAGCCCCAGGAAGTGGTCACAATTGTCAGAGGGGAAGCACTGTCCTCTTCCACATGGTGTGGCTGAATGGAGGCTTCCTGTTTCCCCACCCAAAGTCCATTTTCGTCTTGTCAGCCCTAATTCTATGTGCTCTGCCATTGTGCATGGAGAAAACGAGGGCCCTGGGGTGGGGTGGGGGGTAGTGCAGTCCTGTATCATGTGTAGAAGTGCATTTAGAAGTTGGTGGCCACTCAAATCCTTCCTTCATTCATTCATTCTTTTTTTTTTTTTTTTTTGGTACTGAGAATTGAACTCAGAGACACTAGCACACTGAGCCACATCCCCAGCCCTATTTTGTATTTTATTTAGAGACAGGATCTCACTGATTTGCTTAGCACCTTGCTTTTGCTGAGGCTGGCTTTGAACTCTTGATCCTCCAGTCTCAGCCTCCTGAGCTGCTGAGATTACAGGCGTGTACCACTGTGCCCAGCTCAAATCATTCTTATCTGGGATATTCTTGCAAGTTCATAGGAAAATTTCTGGTAGAGTCATTTGTTTGATGTTCCTGGGTTCAGTCAAGAGGCAGGCACCACTTTTGGCCAGGTTTTGTGGGTGTGTAGACATAGTAGGATAGTGGACAAATGTCCTTTGCCCCACAAGGGCTGTTTGTTTATGGTTATTTGTCAGCTTTATGACAAATACTTCAAAACTGGTAATTGCGACTGAGGTATCAATTACTAAGAACTATGTTAAAAACTACTATGTTGGTGGATTTGTCAATTGAGCATTGCACTTTGCAATACAAATGGCTAAATTGGCCAGAGAAGTACAAAAGCATAAAGAACCTGATTATTTCAGAAAAAATGACTTTACAAAGAAGCAATAAAGCCAATGATGATGGTGGTGTTTTCAGAATTATTCCAGAAATGGAAAAAATAATGAGAATCTAAAAATATCTTCAAGGGGCTGGGGCTGTAGCTCAGTGGCAGAGGGGTTGCCTAGCACGTGTGAGGTGTTGGGTTCCATCCTTAGCAACACTAAAATAAAATAAAGGCATGCTGTGCATCTACAACTACAAAAAAATAATTAAAAAATCTTCAAAAAATTTGACATAATTGATACCAAAACCTAGTCCACAAAAATGTGTAGTCTAGTTTAAATATTAATGTAAAAAATGTTAAGCACTAGCAAACAGTGCATCAACATATCGAGATGATGTTGTTATATGATACATCCACTATAAAATTACAACATGAATCCATTATAGAACAGATACAGATGTGACACAATACTTTCACATTAAGAAATAAATAAAATTCATATAAATTGATCAAAATAGAAAAAACAGATCTATGTTAAAATTTATTAAACTTGTTCTGCTTGTTTACACAATAATTTATACTTAAATTATTTATTTTAAAGTTTCCATCTATCATAAGTGTAAGTTTATATTAGTTTTGAATTTTACTAAGTGGATTAAACCTAAAGAGATACAAGTATCAAATGTGTTTCTCTTTTTTGCCCTCAAACATTTTTTGTTACATCTTTCTTTCTCATCATTCAGTATTTCATCTGCTTTCAGGTATTAAAGATTCCAATGAAATTCAGCTTCAAAGTTCCATCTCATGTATAGTGTGAAACCTGGTCAGCCCACAGGGAAAGTGGGAGAATGTCTGGCTCATTCTTCCACTCTTCCCCCTCTTCCTTGTCTTTCACTTCCACTTTACCATCATTGGATGCTTCTGAGTTTCTGTTTCCCCCATGGTTAACAGAAGTCCCTGGGGCGGGCACACTGAACTCAGTTAAGGTTGTGCGCCAACTTGATTATGGTGCCCTGGTATAACACTAAACTTCCCAGCAATTCAGCCAGCATAAAGCCCAGGCCAGAGCTGCTAATCATCTCTGCTCTTGGAGAAAATGTCAATCTCTGTGAGGATCCCTAGGAGTGTCTCTTTTGAAGCTGAGTGGGAGGAGGAGGTGACAGCTCCTCCTATCTTTATGCACAGGCCACCAACCAACCACTACCACAGATGAATTCTTCTGAATCAATTCCTATCTTCAGCTGATGTGGGCTGGACAGGGAGAAAACCTGTTCCTCTTTGCTCTGTCCTGAGAGAGAGAGAGAGGTCTGGTGGCTTTTTGTTGCTGTAGGCCAAGTGCAGATTTGGGATCCATTTTCCTCTTCTTTAAGACAAGAATAGTCTCCTTCTATAACTTCTTTGTTTATAGGTTCTTGATTTTCTAGGATTTAAACAAAAATCAACTTTATTTTTCTGTCTTTTAATCCTGATTTGTGAGTGAGTTATTTATTTATTTTTTAGCTGTTGGACAAAATCTTGTTTATTTCCTGTCATTGTTAGATTATTTCAGCATAGTTTCAAAATTATATAACTTTATATTACAGTTCTAATTATCATCTCATTTAGGGCTTCCCCCGCTCGAGCTATTGTTGTCAGTAATAAAACGTCCCTTTTCTCTTAATTCATAAGTCCCATGCCTTCTGCTACCGTCTATGATATTGTGCAGGTAGCTCGTCAGCTTGCAAATAATGTGAAAATCTCAGATTCTTTACAATTCTTGACATCTCTAGACTAGCAACCACATTTTTAAGAATCCATGCTATAAAAATAAAAACAAAACTAATGATGCCTAAGAATATATTTATAAGAAAATAAGAGCCTGGAGAAAAAAATGGATATAATCTAGATATTTACCCATATTGAATGGCAATGATTGGTGCTCCAGTTATTTTATTAAATATTGTGAAGCATTAAAAATGGAGTTTGAAATGTATAATAATTTGAATATGTATAATTTGAAATGTATAATAATCATTTTTACACAAGAAAAACAAGTTGTAAAGCAATAGGTTTGATCTGACTTTTGTAAATCAAAGCAAAATTAAACCTATTCAGTAATGGAGTGATTTGGGAGTGATTATTTGTGTGGGTATATATATTATATGAATATAATATATTTGCACACATGTGTATACATTTTTGTATGTGTATATATATATATATTTATTTATAAATATATATACAGTATATATGTGTTTGTGCTTCTTGCAACTAGATTTAGCTTTTTAATGATGTGCCAGCCTAATGAGAATGTACCACAGAGATTGTGTTGCTTTTCCATCTTCCTCTATCCTGCTGCTGTGAATAGCTGGAAGCCAGAGACAGCCAAGCCTGAAGCTTTTGTGCAACAACCAGAAACAATCTGCATTACCTGATAATAGATCTTATTTTAGATGAGAGAGAAATACAATGATCTTGCTTAAGCCAACATTATAATCTTAAAAACAAATTCTTGCATGCATAGGCAAACCTTGTCCTAATAATGCAAGTCTCATGGCAGACCACACATGTGGTTCTCCTTAGTGGAACATGTAGGCAGAGTACCTGTGCTGGTCCTCCAGCTTCCCTTTTGAGGTCAGCATCTTCACTGCAGCTGTTCCTGTCATGGTTCACTCTTCTAGGACAGACCTCAGCAGAAATTTTTGCCTTGAGAGCTGCTTTGAATCCAGAAAGAACCATTTTTTTGGATGTAATGCTTAGTATACTTTTATCTGGTTCTGAAATCTTTTTTAAAGTAGTTACTGTCTCTGTGATTTAACTTGGTATCAAAGTACTTCTTTCTTTACTCAACTGATTATTTCCTAGAATGTTTCTTTTTTTTTTTTTTTTTTCAACAGAGAGCTTGTCGCTGGGGATTCAGGTTGGGCCATCCCCAGCCAAAGCCCTGTCCACGAGGCTGCCTGATTCAGGTGGAGCCAGGAGGAAACTTTGCATCAGCCCCAGTAGGTGAGACATCTTTGTAAGAAATTTGATGTCCATTTAAGAGTTTAGTTCCTGGTCAGCATGTGGTAGGAAATTTAAAATCTTGTCACAACTTTGCAAAATCTGTTTGTTTTTTCTCCATGAAAACAGTACCAAAGCATGTGTTCTCCCAAATTGCAATTCCAGTCTCAGTGGTCTCCACATTATCTCCTTTACTTTCTGGAAGCGGGGCAAATCCCATTCCTGCTCCTTCAGGGTCCAGGTGTTCCCTTTAGTCTTCTCTTCAGAATGTTGGGAGCCCTGGTGGAAATGCACAGGCAGTTCAGAAGAAACCTTGGCTTCCAAATTTCAGCCCCCTCACCACGATCAAATGTAACACTTGATTTTCTTTTAAAATTGTTTCCAGTATTACAGATTGAATCCCAGGGTTCTTACTGCTATGATGAATCTCTTTTTATGTTTTATCTTGAGAGAGGGTCTTACGAAGTTTCTGAGAGTGGCCTCAAACTTGCCATTTATTTTCCTGCCTTAGTCAGCTGAGTGGCTGGGTAACAGGCCTGTGTCACCATGCCTGGCTGAGTGTAGACTTCAAAATGCTGGCCTGTGCCTCAACACCACTGTTGAAGGGACCTGACCTGGAGAGCAAGGGTAGTTTCACAATCAGGGGAACACTTTGTCCCTAAGGCTACTTAAAATTCCCTTTGATTCTCTTCCCATGTTTTTCATAACAAAGCTACTCTTAAACTCATCGTACGTCATTCCAGAAATTTCTGCAACTGTCTCCTGTGTGCGCTCCATATGTTTATCATACCCACTGGCCTTGCTCCATTGCTCCCTCACAAAATCCAGGATACCTGGTCCATGAAGAAAGGCTCCTCCGTAGAGTAGAGGAGGTAGAAAAGAGACGAAACTGGGACAAAGCAGAAAATGATTTTTTGAGGCTAGGAGCAAAGAAGACCAGCAGCTACTATAGGTTAAGAATTTTTAGCCCAAAACAGAAGGCAAGTGAATATTCATCTTTTTCATTGTAAATTTAAAGTTTACATATTTGGTATCTTAATGTGGATCTGAAGCACTAATGGATTCCTTGCTCATTCATCCATCGTGACTACTGTTAACCATACTACAGACACTGCTCTTATGAACCAGGGCAAGGAGAACCACTTCTCCTAGAGGGCCAGCCAAAAATGTTAATTACCCTATTCCTCCTTTAATACCTATATGATTAATAGATTCTGGAACTTCCGTTTCCATTAATACAAGGTAGCTGTTGGCAAAAGTAGTTATAATATCAGACATAAAATCAGTGGATAAAAAGGGGAATGGATCTGGAAAGTTCATGAAAGAGGTACACTCGATCTTTTATACACACTTAAAAAAATAGCAGGACTATTTCTGACTTCAGATGAACAAATCACGAAGACTTCCAGATCCCCTTCACTTTCTTGCAGTTTTGTATCCAGCAAAGATTGCAAAGTGCTGAAAGGCTCATCAGAGCCAGTGCATGTCTTCCCGGCCTTCCCCAGGAAAAAAGAGGACTCCAAAAGCAACCAGTGGTACAGGGAAGGGAACCAACAGAAAAATTCATGGAAGTGTTATTTTTCTTATAAAGAAAACCTAGAAATTGATATTTCATAGTTTTCTATTTACTGAAATAAATGTTAATGGATTATAACAAGAATAGTAATAAAATCAACCAAGCGGGTTCCAATGGGGAGATTTTGTCACATAAAAGATAGGCATTACAGCAGAGAAAGATACTTTTTGGGAAAACTATGTCTTATTGCAACAATTTAAGATGCTTTCAAAATTTATCTACTAAATTCAGGAAAACATAAATACATGAAACAAGATGTAAAATGCTACATGATAAAAAGACAAAAAAATGAACTAAGAGGAAGCAAAAAAAAATTCTCTTCAATTCATCTCCTTAATAGAGGTTGCTTATGCATCTCATTATGGACTGCATTGTGGGCTGCCAAGGTACCCGAGTTGAGGCCCTAACTCCGAGTATGAGTGCATTTGAAAGTAGAACCTGCACGGAGGAAATCAAATTTAAATGAGAGGATAAGAGCGGGGCCCAAATTCCAACAGTCCTGGTGACCTCATCAGGGAGGAAGAGACACCAGGAGCACAGGGACAGGTGACAAGGCTGCCATGTGGGAGCCTGGAAGACACCTCTGCCCCACTAGAAAAATGCTGTGACAGCTTGACCTTTGACCTCAGAGAAAGAAGGCTGTGGCACCTTGATGGAAGACTCCCAGCCTCCAGGACTGTGAGGAAGCAAAGAATCCTTTAAATTTCTGGTGTTCAAACTGTGTGCCAGGACGCTTGAGCACCACCATGAAAGCCCCATGGGATATTTAAAATGTTTGAGAGTGATAAAGGAACCCTGGATTCCTTTCAGATGCTGCACAATTTGCTATTCTGAGTTTGCAACTTTGATTTTGGATTGCACCACGTTCCTTCCTATGATGTCATGTTTGTGAAAATAGAGTTGTTCAATCTGATGCCAATATTTCTGAAGTTATGCTGTGATACACACATATGTTGTATTATTATGTAACTGTGGTTTTAGATTTTAAGGATGGATGTAAGTAATGTTAATTTTTTTTATAATGACATCCATCAAGAAAGTTTGGAAACCTCAAAGTAAATTAAAGTAAGTTAAGGACATTGAACAGGAACAAAAAGAAGTAAACAAAACCATTTATTATAAAAATAATAAAAATTAGGTTGTCTCAAAATTTTCCCTTGAAAGTAAATGCCAAATGCCTGAAGAAGTCTCTATTAAAATGTACCCAAATTAATCCTGTTCAACTTCATATTTTTTGGTGAGAATTTGTTTATGGTATACATTGTCTTAGTTCTTGAATGTCTGCTTTTATTTTTCAGTTGAATGGAATTACTAAGTGACATTAACAGTACAAATACTTAAACTAAACAAGAGATAAATTAAAATTACTATGCAGTAAGGAGGTCAGAATAAAAATGTATTGAGGGCTGGGGTTATGGTTCATCGGTAGAGCACTCGCCTAGCAAGTGCTGAGGCCCTGGGTTCGATCCTCAGCACCACATGAAAATAAATAAAATGAAGGTATGTGTCCAACTACAACTAAAAAATAAATATTTTTTAAAAATTAAAATGTATCGAAACCACAAATACCTGTATATGTGGTTTAAAGTCTACATAAAGGACAAATAAATTACTTTTAAAATATAAAATATTTAAAAATACATTTTAAAATAAAAATCTATACCTAGAACTCTACCTTTCAGATAGTAAATATTAATATGATATGGACATTTTATCTTTTAAGTCTCTATTGAAATTCATATTTGTGTACATATACTTTATTGTAAGAATTCCATGGGCCAGGTTCTTTGAAGGAATTGAACTGATGCTCTTTTTTATTTTTTTAGGGTCTTCAACAAAAGATTTTTTTTTTTTTTAAATTTTAATTTTAAATTGAAAGATTATAGTTGTATATATTTATGGAGTGAAAAATTGATTATAAAATTAGTGTATATAATGTGGAATAATTAAACCAAAGTAATCAACATATCTTCATCTTAAGAACTTACTTTTGGAACTAAAAACATTCAAAATTAACTTTTAGCAATTTTAACATGTACAACCTAATGTTTACTCTATTTACCACACATGGACTATATCTCAAAGAAAACAAAACTTACTCCTCTTGTCCACTTGAGGCTTTGTACCATTTTTTCCATCATCCCCTCTTTCCTCCCACCTCCCAGCCTCTGTAAACACCATTTTACTCTTTGTTTCTTTGATTTCAGTTGTTTTAAATTCTACCTTTAAGTGAGAGCATGTTGTGCCTTTCTATGCCTACCTTATTTCATCCAGCACAATGTTCTCCAGTTGCATTTATGTTGTAGTATAGGACAAAATTTATTTAGGACTGAATAATGTTCTATCACGGATATATACCATGTTTTCTTTGTCCATTCATCTGCTGATGGACACTTAGGTCAACTCCATAACATGGCTACTGTAAATAATGCTGCAGTAAAGACAGGGGTGCAGGTATCTTTTCAATAACTGATTTCACATCTTTTGGGTAATACCAGGAGTGGGGTTTCTATATCTTAAGGTAATTGTACTTTAAGCATTTTTGAGGAACCTCCATACTATTTTCCATAATGGTTACAATAACTTGCTTTCTCACTAGCCATGTGCAAGGGTTCCCTTTTCTCCATATTCTTGCCAAAACTTGTCACCTTTTTCCTTTTTGGTAATAGCCATTCTGATGGATGTGAGGTGATGCTGCATCATGCCTTCATTTGCATTTCCTTAATGATTAGTGACATTGGGCATTTTCCTTATACCTATGGCTATTTGTATGTCTTCTTCTGAGAAATGCCTGTTTGAATCCTTTGTCTATTTTTATTGAATTATTTTTTTCTATAGGCTTGTTTGAATTCCTTATATTTCAGATATAAACACTTAATCAGGTGTATGGTTTACAGATATTTTCTTCTGTTGTTCAGGTTGACTGTGTCCTTTGCTGTGCAGAATCCTTTTATTTTGATGTAATCCCATTTGTCTTCATTTTCTTTTGTTTCCTGTGGTTTTGGGGGGTCGTATCCAAAAACTGATAAACCAATGTGTAAAGATTTCCTGTGACATTTTATTTGCACTCTAGCTTACTTAGAAAACAGATTTTTAGAAGTCATAGAAAAGTAAATTTCATCAATGTTAGTCTATGATTATAAATCGAAGGAAAAGGAATCTAAATGAATGCAATTTCATTTGATCATTGTGATTCCAAAGAAATACCTGTAGGAAAATATGTGCTGAGACACCTAATTTTCACTGTTATAGGGTTAATTTTAGTAATAGATATTTATGGAAGAGAAATACTTTTAAAAGTTCAAGTAAAAGTTAACATTCCTTCTTAGATCTAGAGTGCTGGTTATATCTCGACATTTTTATGACATGCATTTTAATGATTTATAAATAGCAAATTGTATCTTATTGGGCATGTGCACTTGGCTTT